ACGCACCTCTCCTTCCAACACAAAAAACGGCAGTCGCCGCCCAAGGATCTTGCCTACAACGGCATTTTCCAGGAGATGGATACTACACTCCACCACATCCAATTGGAGATCAACCGAGACACCATCCGCAGAAAACTGTCCCCTCTTGACCCTTTCGGTAACCTTGAAGTGTTCAGGCTGCTTCCAAACATTGCCTTGGTTCACTTGCGGGCGAGCGACAGTCAGCCCGCCAAAGATCCCCTCACGTTGCCCAGTAGCGGCATTATCACAAACACCTAGTTGGCGTGGAGCAGTAGCCGTGCAATCTTGCCCATCCGAACAAGGGAGATTCACGCCTAGCTTCCATTCACTACACGGGCCACTCCCGGCCCCCGCCTCCATAGAGTCCATGTCCACCGCCTCATTGACAACCTCAGCCCCCCGCGCCACATGCGCCGAGAGAGCCGCAGCCTTCCTAGCTGCCGTAGCAGCCTCAGCATTCGCAGCAGCCGAGATGCGCTCCAGCGCCAACTCGAATTCCATAGCTGCATCCTCAAAAATGGCATTTGACGAGCTCTGCAAATCCTTCGTCTGCATAGCATCCACCGCCACCCGCGCATCCTGCGCCTGCACCCCGACGCCATTCCGCCCAGGGTTAAGCACCCCTTCGAACCCAGCAGCGCTCCCGCTTCCATTTTGCTCCTCTCGCCTGGAGATGTCCATATCTTGCCGTGCCACTCCATGCCCAGCAGCAGCATCCTCGGCGGCCTTTCCCCCGCGTGTCGCAGCTACTCCCCCATGGCCCGTAGGCTTGCCAACACCCTTGCTCGAGTGCTTCCCACCCCCCGCCACAGCCGGTGAGTTAACCTCCAAACCCTTATGATCCGCCCGAGCCTCCCTTGGACGGAGACCGCACCTCCACATATCTCTTGCCGCCGCCGCCAGAGCCAATGCCCGACCGCCGCCTATCCCGATCACCACCACCTGAACCTTCACCACCGCCACCCCCGCTGGAGCGGGGAGGAGACCGCCTGTCTCCCGCTGCCATGCCCAGAGCCTCTCTCTATGAAACACTCTAGTGAGAGAATGGAGTGGTAAGAAATGAAGAACCTTCCCAAAGTTTTTGGGTTCCTTGAAAATAACTTGTATTACACAAGAAAAAGTATTAAAATATTACAGGAGGCCCAACGTCCTCATCTAAAATAACCAAAAGCTCGACAGGAACAGAGCTTTTATCAGAATTGAAGTTCCAAGAGAAAGAAGTAGCGGTTGCCAAAGCCGCATAGAAATGGGCAGCACGGTTGTATTCCCTCGGGATATGCAAAAAGGTAACCCGGTGAAAAAGACGTAGCCAGTTGAGAGAATCGCCCAGCTCCCAATGACCGTGCCATCTGCTGCGATTCTGGAAATCATGCAGAAGACGAATAACACCACTGTTATCACCTTCAATAATAAGGCCAGCACAGTCAAACATCCAATCTTCTAAAGCTAAGTGAATGTGCTGGATGGCCTCCAGCTCCACAGTATTGCTGTCCCAATGCTGGAAAGGCCAACCACAAGCCTTAAGAGGAGACCCAGCTAAGTCTTCCACCATGTCAAAGCCCCACGGGCACAGAGGGTCCGCCGGAATCCTCCAGGAACGCAGCCAGTCATTAGTGGGAAGGATATTTTTGTATATGCGCCACCAGAAAAGCTTCTCCCGAGGATGAAGACGGAAGCGGTACATGGTCATAACCGGATCCGGCTCTGCCGGGAAAAGTTGAGCATAGGCCATGGACGTGATCGTTTGTCCCAGTGGGCGACGAATAAGCTCAGCCGAGTCAGGAATAGTAGGAGGGAGAATAGGGAGAGCCAGAATTCGAAGAGCTAAATCCCGACCAAAGAACTGAAACACCAGTACGGCGTCCCACTCGCCATCCTCAGTGAGCAAAAAACTGACAGTAGCATCCTCAGGTAGGTCCGTACTGAAGTACGTCGCCATAAATGGAGAGGCCGATCCTCAATCCAAGCATGGAGGAAGAGGTTGATATCGGTACCAGGCCCAACACGCCAGCAGATACAGCGTTGAAGAGTATGAGTCCCATCACAAATAAATTTCCACGCCGGCGAATCGGTCCGCGCAGGAGTAGCATCCCACGGAGAGGGGCCATACTTCTCACGGAGGCTTCAATTAAGAAGAGTGTCGGGATCGTTGATGAAGCTCCACGCTAGCCGGGCTCGGAGAGGACCAGTCCAATTCCCGGCCGCATGAAAATGGAAACCCTCTGAACACTTAGGCTTGCACAGCTCATCCCAGGCCAGATAGTGTAACCCCCGAGCATCCGGGCTTTTGTCCCAAAGAAAACTGTGGGCCAGTTTCTTGATCGTATTAAGCACACCACATGGGATAACCGAATGGGATGTATAATAGATCGAGATGTGAAGAAGAGCCGCATTAATAAGAGTAGTCCTGCCCGCAAGGGACAGGTGCCGATTACCCCAAGCGAGGGTCTTGGCAGACGCTTTTTGAATAACTTTGGCAAAGTCAGCAAAGGTGGCCTTGGACATTTTGAGAGGGATGCCCAGGTATTCAAACTGGTCCACTCTCTGGAACCCCGCCATCTTAGGCAGCCTGGTCCTCTTCCAATACGGGGTACTTTTTCCAAAGAGAATTAAAGATTTTTCAGAGTTAAGCTTTTGCCCCATCCACGAACAGTACTTATGCAGGATTTGCAAGAGAAGCTTGAGGTTGGAAATTGAAGCTTCTGAAAAGAAAAGCACATCGTTAGCATAAAGAAGATGGGAAATGGGCCTACCAGAAGGGCAGAGAGACACCCCAAGGTGGGGGGCGTGATGCCGCATAGCCAACGAGAGAAGTTTCGAACAAAGAATAAAAAGGTGAGGCGAGAGCGGGCATCCCTGCCAGAACCCACAGCCACCCGAGATCCAGGATGACCGTTGTGCAATGACAAGAAGGGCAAAGCGAGGCAGCTCAACACAGCGGACCACCCAGTTAGCGAAGCGCGGTGGGAAGCCCATAAGCCTGAGGACAGCATTGAGAGTGTCCCAACTCATGCGGTCATAAGCTTGTTCCATATCATAGGCTTGTTCCATAAGGCACGGAACCGAGGTGGAAGTTCGAAATTTGTTGATAACCTCCAACCCAAGCAGATAATGCCCCGAAATGGACCGACAAGGAACAAAGGCTGCTTGTTCCTCCGAAATAATATCCGGAAGAATGCTCTTAAGTCGATTGACAAGAGTTTTGGCCACCACCTTATAGATCGTTTGGTAGAGACTGATAGGCCGCAGCTTGTTGGGAGCAGTAGGATTAGGCACCTTAGGAAGAAGGAAAACAAGAGTATCTTTCCAGTCAGCGTGCATGACCCCGGTCTTGAAAAAGTCCAAACAAGCATCAACCACATGCTGACCAATAATGGGCCAAAACGCTTTGTAGAAAGAAGCCGTGATCCCGTCCGACCCCGGGGAGCGGTTTCGGCCCATACTGAAAGTGGCAACACGAATTTCCTCCTCAGAAATATCAGCAGCCAGAAGAGTAGACACTCTCCGGAGGGCCTCCACTTTATCATGAAGACAAGGCCACCCATCCACAGAGATAGGTGCCGCCTGCCACTTACGGGAAAAGAAACGGGTGAGGATGGCAAGGATAGCCGAGCTGTCCTCCGAGACAGTGCCCTCCTCATCAGTCATCTCAGGAATACGATTCCCCCGACGGCGGGAGGAAGCAACAGAGTGAAAATAATGGGTATTGGCATCGCCTTCCTCCAACCACCAAACCTTGGCGCGATGTTGCCACCACGAGGTTAAACGCGCAAGTGTACAATTGAGCTCTCTAACTTTACGAAGCAGGTCCACCTCTTGCTCAGGAGAGAGTCCATCCGGCGAACAATCAGCCGATTGGAGAGCCCCAATGTCCAGCTCGAGAGAGTGTTGAAGCTGATGGAGCCCTTGGATTTTATTTCGGCTCCAAAAAAAAAGTTGCCGAAGAGCGCGACGACTTTTAGCCTGGAGCGCCTCAGCTGGGCCTCCAGATGGAACCCAGTTCCAACATTTAGTGACGATACACCCCGCAGCAGGATAGGAGAGCCACATATCCTCAAATCAAATCCATTCCGCGCGCTGCAAGCGAGTAAGCGGAGCAAGGGAGCAAAGAAGAGGACAGTGATCAGATGCCAACCGCAACAGGTGGCGAACCTCCAGCTCCTGATGCTCATCCAGAAGGGAGGAGGAGACAAGACATCTATCAAGGCGAGCCCAAATCTTACTGGTACCATCCTTGTTATTACTCCAAGTAAACTTGGGCCCCAAAAAGCCAGGGTCAACCAAGTCATTAGAACGCATAAATTCCTCCATATCCATAGAGTCAGTGGACGGTCTAAAAGGGCGCCCCCCCTTTTTATCGTCTTGGGAGAGGATGCAGTTAAAGTCCCCAATGGCAATAAGAGGGAGCTCAGCATCCCGATAGGAATTGATCCCTTCCCAAAGAGACCTATGGACGTGCAAATCCTTATCAGCATACACCACGGCAATATTCCAGCAGGGGAGATCAGAGAATTGCACCCGGCCAGCCACACACTATTTTGAAGACAGGATAGGTTCAAAGGAAACACAAGCCCATTTCCAAATAAGCAGGATTCCACCAGATTTGCCGTCAGAGGGTTGAAGGTGAAAATCCCACGCACACCCTGCAATCTTGTCAATATCTTTATGAGACATAGAAATAACCTTAGTTTCCAACAGGGCAATAAAACTCAAATGAAATTCGCTAATAAGCTGGCGAAGATAATTCCCCGCCTCCTTCTTGCGGGCACCCCGGCAATTCCAACAAAGGACAGAGGTCATGGTTCCACCACAGGGGACGCGACCCCGCCGCTGGGAGAAACAGAGAGGGATGTAGCCGAGATCAAAGGCGGAGAGAGGGAGGGGGAAAGGATAGAGTCAGAAGAGGCAGAAGCTAGGGGGGTGGCGGCAGAGGAGATTAGGGAGAATGACGGGAATGGGAACCATGCGCCCTTTTCCGCTTAGGTGCTTGGCCCCCCTGAGAAAGAGGCGAAAAGGGCCCATGGGGAGGAAAGGACAGCTCGGACCCCAGAATCCACTTGAGTAAGAGGAACAGGAGAGAGATCCGCAGCAGGAGGGGGAGGATGGATAGGGGAAGCCTCTAAGGGTCCCACCAAAACACAACTCGGAGGGGGAAGGGGTGCAGATTGGAGATCTTCAATCATGACATCACTCCCTCTAGGGGGAGGTGAGGTCGCGTCCGACGCAGGGATAGGCGCAGAGGGTTCAGAGCAGTCCCCAGGGGGCGGGCAGGGAGAGGGAGGCGCAGGGGTACAGATCGCGGCAGCAGCAGGGACGGGACGAGGCAGTATAGGGGGCACATGTGACTTGGCCCGGGCCGTCACATCCGAACGCCGAGAGCGATTCCTCCTACGATGAACCACAGTCCAGACGATATCCAATGGAGATTCCGGTGTGGCAGATAGAGGGGGCACAGTAGTAGAAGAACAGCTGGGAGCCTGCCCAGCCGAAGGGAGAGCCGCATCGGGGGCCGTAGGGATAGGAGACATGCCTGAATCAAGACCAGCAAGAGCAGAGGGCTTTGCTGCATGGGGAAGAGTCGAAGTAGCAATGGCCTGAGTATTCAAAGAATCCCGGCCAACAGAAGAGCAATCAGCAATCCGATGGCCGATACCGCCGCAGCTCTGGTAAATAAGGGGGATACCCTCGTAGTGTATTGGTTGAAAAAAACAGCCATTCAGACCCACAGCCCACACGCCCGTCGGAAGCCGACGGTCAAGCTGGATTCGAACACAGACCCTCGTATAAGAACAACGTTGGAGGTCCCTCGTTTGGCCGTCCAGAAATAACGGTTCTCCCACCACCGACGCCATGCGCGCTAAATATACCTCGTCCCAGTATTCCAGCGGAAACTGTGGGAAACGAAGCCACACCAGAGATGAGAAATTACGAGACGAAGCCAGGTTAAACGCAGGAGATCACTGTTGAATGCCAATGATATGGCCAGCTACAAACCACGGTCCACCGAGAAGGACAGAATTGCGAGCAGATTTGGTGTGAAACTTACAGAGGAAGCAATCTTGCCAAAGTGGCGAAACGTCAGTGAGGCTAGCCATTTTCCACTGACGGTATAGTTCAGAATGAACAACCGCAAATGGAACTCTCCTTCCAAGCAAGCAACCAATCAAAGAAGATTCAAAGTGGTTTACACGAGCCTGAGCCGAAAGGATGTCCAGTGAAACCACTCCGTTAGAAAGCATGAACAAATCAGGGGATTCAATGCAGGAAAACCGGATCGGAGGGGGGGCACCCACCCAGAGACCAGGTTAGCAGCCAAAGGAGAGGCGGAAGTAGAGCCATCAGCCCCAGAGGGGGCAGGCCGGTAAGTAGCGGAAGGGCTAGAAAGGAAATCCCCTCGAGAGGTAGCCGAATGGGCAGAAGCCATAGGAGGCAACCACGAGCCACTGGGAAGGACAGACAAACCATCAGAAGGTGGGGCAGTACCCGAACGCACCACCACACCAGGGCGAGAAGCCATAGCCTGAACGGAGACCAGAGCCGAAGGGACATCCCCATCCGGATCCAACACCACAGAGCCACGCACCACCCCCTGAGAGGGAGGAGCCCGAGGGCGTCCCCCCTACCCATCGCAGAGTTTCTCACACTAAAGCACACAAGAGAGAGAAGGAAGAGGGCAAAAATGAGAAAGCGTCCAAAGTTTTTGGGTTCCTTGAAATTTGCAATTTTGCATTGATTAAAGAGAAAGTACAAAAGTATGGATCCTATGCCTTCCCAAAACAAAAAAGAAAAAGGTGGGAAGGGCTAAACTATTAAAGCAAAACTCCATACAAGTATGACAATCAAAGTTAAAAGCAAGGAAAAAAACTAGGACAAGCCCCTTTGAATCACAATGAGGCCCACCCCTAAAGCATGCCCTCGGAGATCCAGCAATGCCTAAAGAACAACTCCAGCGGGGGGAGATACCTGAGAAGACCGTCCCATATCCATGGCATCATCCGAGCTGGTAGCTTGCCCGACCTGGACAGCATGCTGAACGGAGACCTCATCCAGGTCATCCTCCATACTAGACAGAGCAGTAGACGCCCTCCTCGAGTCCCCCATATCACTCCCGAGAGAGGCCTCCTGGTCGGACATAGCGTTTCCATCTGCATCTGTGTCAAGCTCTTTATCGGAACAGGCCTCTTCATTCCGTCCGGGGTCTTCCAAGCTGGCAGGTTGAGCAACCTCCATCCCATCGCAAGCCTTCGCCGAGCCATCCATTAGACTGTTTCCAGCAGGCGGTGAGATCCTGATAGAGCTCATGATCAGTTCCCGAACAGCAGCCGGCTTGGATAGGGGAGAAGTAATCCCGGGTGAGAACTTCCCCTCCGGCTTAGTGAATGTCGTGACCTGCACCTCCATAGTAGCCGCCGCCTGCTTCAAGGGGGGCTTAACCTTAGCATCCCCATGTGTGTTCTCCTTGCCGGGGCGAGCATAGCCCGCCGGCCTTAAGCCTTTTTCTTCCCCAGCTCCAATGGAAGCAGCGCCCTTGGAAGCATTAGCCGTGAACCGACCAATGCCCGGATATTTGGCCAGGAAACCCGACCTAGTCCCCTGCGCCACCAGCTCCTCGCCGTCGGCCAACTCATTGGCAAGCACATGCCACCTATTCCCTTGCTTCCTTTCCTTCTTGCCGCCTCCACTCTTGCAACCACCACCATCATTCCCCCTATTTGGAGGAGGTGACCTAAGGCCACCCCTCTAGCCATCCCAAAGCTTCTCTCTCTAAAACCACTCTAGTGAGAGAAAGAAGTTGGAACAAATGAAGAGCCTTCCCAAAGTTTTTGGGTTCCGGCCAAAGTTTTTGGGTTCCTTGAAGATTGCAAATGCATTAGATCATAAAAAGGATTACAACAGAATAAAAGGTCAACCCCTTGCACTTTCCTCTCTTAGCAATGAGAGAAAAGTGACAGGGATCTCATCACACCAAACATCTTTCCAAACAAAATTACAATCTAAAGCCTTAGAGGCACAAAAGTCGGCTGCCATGTTGCTTGTCCTCGGCACCCTATTGAACAGAACTTGATGAAAATTGGCCAAGAAGGAGAAGTCCGGCCCGTCCCCGGACCGATGCAGCCTATGGTGAGGGTGGCGAAGCTGATGGAGCCACTCAATGATGTTGGAGCAATCCCCTTCAATGATGATCCCTAGCCGATCAAACATCCACTCCTCAATGATGTCTTTAATAGTGCTTGCCGCAAGCAGTTCAGCAGTGGCCGCATCCCAGTGCTCGACCTGTTGGCCAGCTGCCACAATTAAGTTCCCCAATTGGTCACGGACCACCACCCCCAGCCCCGCGAGGTTAGACGGAAGCACGGTAGCATCGAAGTTGAACTTGAGCAAATTAGGAGTGGGGGCACACCATGCAGATTTGTCAAACAGCCTAGAAGGCTGATTGATGTGGCATTGCTCCAGCACAGGCATCAAGTGTGGCTTAGCAAAAGCTCCCAAAGTAGTAGCAGCTAACACCGAGGGGGATCCCCAACTGCGGCCATGTTTTTTGTCATTGCGAGCCCGCCAAGCTTGATAGACGGACGAGAAAAAAATTCTACCAAGACCCGGGTTAGCTCGTGCCAACTTCTCAAGGTTCCGGAGCAGCTCAGCAAAGGAATTGCTGGTCGGCACTAAGAAACCCCATTGCCCCAGCTGAGTGAGGATGGACTTCAGAAAACTGCAATGGATCGTGCAATGCTCCCTATCTTCGTCATCACTACAACCCCACGGGCACTGCCTGTTGTCCTCCAAGTTCCGCCGCACAAGCCAAACATTAGTAGGGATGGCATCCCGCAGCAATCGCCACCAAAAAAGATTTTCTCTGGGATGGAGTTTTAATTTCTTCAGCCACAAAAAGGGGTAGGCCGTCCAGCCGAGCCGAGCACCATAAGCCAAGGAGGTAACCGTGCGGCCACTCCTAGGATTAATAAGCTCTGGAAAGTCATCACCCCCCGAATTGTTGATAGGGATGGCTAAAACCCAAGTAGCCATTGCATCACCAAAGTAGTCTTGTACTTTATTCTCGTCCCATTCCCCAGTAGCGGTGAGGAGATGGCTCACTTGGCAGTGTTCAAGGGGACGCAAATCACCAAAGACCGGCCAGTGATCCAATCGTCGATCCATAATCCAAAAATTGCTGAGGATGCTCACGGTCTTTCCATCCCCAATTCTCCACCGAATAATCGGCCGCAGTGCCTTAGCTCCATCATTCATAATTTCCCATGAGTTTGAAACGTTCCGTCCAGGCCATTTAGTCCACGGGTTTCCCCCGTATTTCTCACGCAAGATCCTGTGAAGGAGGGCAGTGGGTTGCTGAATAAAATTGAGGGCCAGCCTGGCCCGAAGAGGTCCCATCCACTCCAACGCCGAATGAAATCCCAGTCCTCCCATAACCGTCGGCTTGCATAAGTCGTTCCAAGACACATAATGCAGCCCCCTACTATTTTGAGTTTTGCCCCACAGGAATTGTCTTCCAACTTTCTCAATCAGCTCCAGGCTACCTTTCGGGATCATGGTTAGAGTCATGTGGTACATTGGAACCGAAAGCAATGAAGTCCGGATGAGGGTAGCTCTACCCGCAAGGGAGAGATGACGTTTCCCCCAAATGTTGACCTTTTCCATAGCTTTATCCACAGTTTTGGCAAAGTCAGCCTTCAACGTCCTCCGAGTAAGCAAGGGGAGCCCAAGATACTCCAAAGAGGAAACCGTATTATAACCCATCAGCCTTGCAATCCGCCTGCTTTTCCACCTGGGGCACCGTTTATTGAAGAGGATCGCTGACTTGTTAATATTGATTTTCTGCCCCGTCCATCCGCAGTAATCAGTCAGAATGCCATCAATTCGCTTTGCATTGGCTAAGATATCATCGGCGTACAGAAGATGCGAGACCCGCTCCCCCTTGGCCACTATTTGGACTCCAAGGCCATGACCAGATTGGTTGAAAGCCTTGGTGAGAAGCTCCGAGCAAAGAATAAAGAGATATGGAGATAGCGGGCAGCCCTACTGTAGCCCAGAGTGGGCCTTGATCCATTGCGAGCGGTTGCCATTAAGCATAAAAGCAAACCGAGGCTCGCAGACACTCTCCGTCACCCATTGGGTAAACCTTCCCGAGAATCCCATAGCCTCCATAGCCCGGCGAAGTGTGACCCACGACATAGAGTCGTAGGCCTGCTTCATATCCACCTTTAATGCCATCAGTCCTGACTGCATAGTAGAATGCTGGAATTTGCACATCATTTCTTGGGCAAGCAGCCCATGGTTTGCAATCGAACGACCAGGCACAAAAGCACCCTACACCTCCCCAATAAGGCCACCCAGGACCGGCTTGAGTCGGTTAACCAAAAGTTAGGCCACCACCTTGTACAAGGACTGACAGAGACTAATGGGTCTGAACTGGTTAGGCGCAGCAGCATTCTCGATCTTAGGAACTAGGATCACCATCGTGTCCTTTCAGCTCGGGCACATCAAACCCGCAGCAAAGAACTCTTTGATAGCACTACAAACATCATCCTTAATAATTAGCCAATAAAATTTAAGAAAGGAGGAAGTGATACCATCAATCCTCGGGGCCCGGTTATTTCCCATGCTAAAAACCGCCTTGTGGATCTCAGCTTCAGACACCTCCTCCTCCAGCAATTTCGCAACGTCCGGTTGGAGCATAGCACCCGAGCAGAAAATTGGCCATCTAGTCATATGGGTTTCCCGGTCCCTCCATTTTTCAGAGAAGAACCGCCAGAACTCCTCTTGGATCAAGTTTGGTTCCGTCAAGACCGTGCCATCTCCCTTCTGAAGCTCCATTATCCTATTAGATCGTCGTCGA